TGTCCCTAGGTGTGAGTGAGAGAGTGAATGGTTGTTTATATATATATATATATATATAATCCTGCTTTTCTTCTTATATACGGATATATTGCACCAAAAACAATGATTTATTTGCATTCCCTGTTTAATTCCCATTCAGTAAATCTCTCATCTTAAAAAACTAACATTCACCATTCAAACCCGTCAGCGACAGGTGACATCAGCTTGACTTTTTTTGTAAAGCACCGATTGTCTTCTCATAAATAAACATTACTACTGTTTCTAAAGACACAGACATTAAGTTCCCTCAGTAACCAGTGTGTTGTGTGTTGATTCACTATTTTATTCTTATTATAATATTATAATTATTATTACTTACACCCGGAAATGTTATTGGCCTAACAAGAACTACCAAAAATGCAGGAGTCATTTTAGTCTCCAGAGTCCTGTAAAGAGAGAGTTGCGACACTCTTTGAACTCGCCGATACGCGGTCACGTGGTTCATGCAGCTCCCAATAGTTCCAAACAGCTCATCCTGTCAGTCAGTTTGAGCAGCTGCTGGTGCAACATAACACAAAAATCGACTTTTCTTACTTTACCTGTGTCTTTCAGTAATTACTGAGCAGCAACGAACTAATTACTGATTATTTCACAGACTATGCATTTTATCAAAGCGTTTTTAGAAGTGGCTGATACATTTATCATTAAATTTTAGAAGGGAACGAGTCTGCAAACACATATGTTAGAAAAAAAAAATGTATATGCAATACAATGATCAATATAGCCATGTCAGTGTTTTATAATGTTACACACGTTAATAAAAGATCAGAGTAACACCTGTTATAAATATCCTGATGCATGCTCAATAACCCAGGTAGAAAAATCTAAAAAAGTTAAATCTGGTCCTCTGGACATTCAAATTTTTTTGAATGTCCAGAGGACCAGATTTAACTTTTTTAGACACCTGTTATAAAGCTGTTTCTGATGTTCTCTGCATGATAATGCTCCACCTTGTCCTCCATGAACTTCAGATCTGCTCCAGCTTACCTCAGATCATCTGGATGAATTCATGATTTCTATAGAAGATATTAATTCAACCTTTATTTAAACAGGTTCGTCCCAATGAGCCACGAGGACTCATTTACAAGAGACTGAATATAATTGTTGTATTTGTCGTTTTTTTTTTTTATGGCAACCAAGTACCTGATAACTGAGTTGATTGTAGTCTGACAACTATTGTAAAATTGTAATTCATTGATTAAAATGTTAATTTAAATGAAACTGTTTCTAGTTAAAATCAT